TAATTTCAAGTTATCCCCTGCCTGTTCCATTTAGTTAAGTAATTTATCATATTTTAAAATTAATTTATGCCTTTTTTCAAAATTAATTTAGAAATATAACTTAACCTCTACATTATCATCTTTTTTTTTTTTTTAGTTACAGCAATAGCTAGCTCAGATTTTTAACTGTGAGGGGCTTGGGTGCATTACTGAAGCAGGGAAGGTTTCTAAAAATGCAAGTCCTTAATTAGGGAAAAAGTATCAAGTTGCCAAAACAATGTTATCACCAAATTAAATTGGTAGTCAGTTAAAACAATTAGGGCTAGTGAGAGAGGTGGCAGTATACCATTCATTGCTGGAGCCAGGTTTGTGCTACCTCCAGCTGCACCTGATCCTCGGAGCAGGTGGCCTCTTCCCCCATGCAGTTTGTCCTTTCCAGGACTGGAAGAAGTTTGAGAAAAGTCTTACATGACATTTCTGCAGGGTCACCTCCTGTGAGATTGTGTGTAATCCCCTTACAAAGAATAAAAATGTTCCCATATCTTTTTAGCTTGGGGGAGGGCAGAGGGAGAGGAAAGCTTAAACCCACAATTTTAGAATTAAACTTTGGAGTGACCTAACCTGGGTAAGGATACTGAGGAACCTGGTAATTTTGCTGAGAGTGTGGAGTTGGAAGCTGTTCTTTATTTGTCAAATATGCCAGTATCCATGTGCTGTCTGAGGGCAGCTGACATGTGAAGGGCCCAGCTCTCTGAGAAGCAGCCACCTCCCTTTACATGGCTCATTTTTTTCACAACAGTGGCTTATGATAAAACTTTGCCTAAACTGCACACTTGGACAGAGGCTGGGCTCAACAGTTACAGTGACAGATCACATGCAGCGGTTTCCAAAACCAGGTTGGTAGAAGCAGGTTCAAAACCTAGGTTCTCCAGGGCCCTCCCAGCCCTTTGCTATAGACAGGAACCTGGTTAACATGGTCCAGTTCAAACAATCCCATCAGTTTCCAGTCTGTCCCGTGTCATCTTGTTATGCAGATTTTTTTCATTGAACATATACCTACAAAGGTTTTCCCACCATAGCCACAACCTGCTTGTGACTCTGAAATTCAGTGACTGCTTTGAAGATTGCTCCATTTGAGATTATTTCTTTTATTTCAGTAGGCTCAGAGCATGTGTCCAGTGCCACTTCCTCCACTTCTTTTCTGAAATCTGCTTCCATTCCGGTAACAACATTCAAGCCTGTGAACATTCGGATAATACATCCATTAAGTATTCTTTTGATGAACAAATCTTTGTATGAGGTTTAAAAAAATGGAATTTGTTTCTTTTTTATTCACCTATATCTGTCTTCTCTGTGATTAGCCATGCTTGTAGGTAAAACAGGTTGGGAATGGTGTGGGTGTCTTTTAGCCTTCCATGCTTCATTGCAAGGCCCCACAAGAAAGCAAAGTAGCAAGAAAGAATGGAAAATGCTGCCTGGGATATGAAGCTCTGTCCTGTCGTGGGGCAGCCAACTGCATCTTTTAACCGTTTTCATGATTTATTTTACAACCTCCTAAGGTTTGTCTGGACTGTTTGCTCCCACACTTCCTACAGGAAGTCTGTCCCACTCCTCCCATGCTCCAGGGGTTAAGGGGTTACAAATCAAAGCCACTGCCTGAATTTCTTCTTGGCTAAATTATATTAATTTGATTTTTGTGCTGATATTGCTCTCTATCTAGTTATTTCCCTTCCCATTGTACTTAACCCCTTAAGGCATTTACAACAGCTAGTTAATAATTCTTCTGCCTCTATTTAGGCAAATTTGTTTAAGGAGTCTCTGGCCTTCTTTAGGACACATGGTGTTTATACCCACTTGCCTTGTTCTTGCATATTTGCTTTTCCGTTAATTTTTCCTATAAAAGGAGATAATACACTAGATATTAAGAAGAAATTTTACACTGTGAGGGTGGTGAGACACTGGAACAGGTTGCACTGAGAATTTCTGGATGTCTCATCCCTGGAAATGTTTGGAATCAGATTGGATGGAGCTCTGAGCAACCTGGTCTAGTGGAAGGTGTGTGTCCCTGTCCATCGCCAGAGGGTTGGAACTAGATGGTCCTTAAGGTTCCTCCCAACCCAAACTATTTTATTACATATTCTTTTAACAGAAAGAAGCATTCTGGACCAAATACCTTTTGGGGACACAGCCTGGGGCTCTGTGAGTCCAGAGGGGACATGGGGTGGGCATTTCCATTTAACAAGCTTTGTTAAAGTGAGCAGGTCCACGTGAATGCCAGAGTTTAGAGGTTAGGATGAATATGGCCACATGCCAAAACCTCTGCTCCTGCCTCAGTGAGCAGTGAAAAGCTCCATGTGAACTTGCCTGCCAGCAGAGGTAAGGTGGGCAGGACTGTTTGGCTGTATCTGCAGTGGCCAGAAGCACCCTCAGGCCAACTGTGAGAGCAGTTCTGCCCGCTACAGCTATTGACAGCATCAAAACAGGACAGGAGCTGCTGCTGCAGAGCACACCCTGCCTGCCACTGCCCACCTGCTGGTCCCCGTCCTAAGAGACGCGTGTGCAGCTGTGTCACCTGCACTCATATGGGTATAAGCCAGAAAAGAGACAAAGTCATATTTAGCAGAGTATTTTTTTTTGGCCATTCCCAGCGTCTGCATTTTCACCCTTAGGGCAGTAACAGTGGTGAGAGGGCCCTCAGACTGTGCTTGTTTCCCAAGTTTTCTTTATGAAAGCTCACTTGCACTTCATTTCTGTTCAGGAGAAGGTCACCACTGATTAAATATGGTTAGAACCATGGCACAAATTGGGCCATGTACTATTTTCCTCTGTCATTTTTGTGGAAATATATGTTGGGCTTGATTTGTGCTTCTATATATAGAGAACAATGCACAGAAGCATACCAGAATTTATTTCTAACAGTAGAAATATTGTGTCAGACCTTTTAAAGTTAAGACATACTGCATGTGTTTTTCATATTTGGTTCAATTAAAGAATAAAAGGACCACTCCCTATCATGTGCATTCTCTATGCAATCATCTTATTTTCTGAATCAGAATCATGGCTCTTACAGACCAACAGCTGCTGGTGGCACAATGGTGGCAGGACCCTGAGGGCCAAGCACATGTGCAATACCCCCTGCTCAGGTGAGCTCAGTTTCTACTGGTGGTGCTGTGATGGGCTGCTCTCTCATATTCCAGTTGCAAGTAGATTAACAAAGGTTGGTTACATCTCTATCTTTAAAAATCAAAGCAGAACAACATTCAAGCCCACCCTTTCCAAAGGAAAATCTGTAGGGTAGTCATGCACACACAAGAGGAAAAGGTTTCTTTAGAGCCAGAACTGCATCATCTCCCCTTGTTCATCTTGTTACTGGAATGAAGAGTTTTCCACAGAAGCCATTTTTAATTAGAAGTTAGATTAACCTCAGAAGATTTTTCTTTGAAGACAGCAAGAGCTTGACCACTTGAAGAAGACTGGCCCCTGATATATATTTGCTGAATATATATCAGCAAATATCTGAAATATAGCATCGTCTCGCAGCTTAGTTGATTTTGCATCATTTGTGGGCTTGCTTCACTGGACTTATTCTTCTCACTCTGTAACTGAAAGTTGCCAGAGGAAAGTTCTTCAGTTTTCCTCAGAAACTAAAAAGAACCCCACAGAAATTGCCACATATCTCCAGCTCTCAGTTCTTGTAGTCAATAGGATGATGTCCTACCAAAGAAGGTGATATCCTTTATACTCCAGAGATGTACAAAGGTTTCTGGATCAGAGATCCCACAGATGAAATATTTTGAAGTTCAGAGCAGCTGCCCAACTATGAGCATACTTGTCACTGTCTTTTTTTTCATTTTTTTAGTGACTTTTATAGGCATTTCCCTCCCACTGTACCTGTCTTGCCAGCACATACTATACCCTCAAGTGGGACTTCTTTTTTTCAGGATGTCTCATTTAACCAGGCAGTGTGTGGGTCCCTGGGAATGACATGCAATAAAATAGTGAACACCAACAAATAGCAGCAAAGGGTTATGTCTGAAGACAGTTAAAGTAAAAATACAAAAAGGAGAAAAAAAGTTTATCTAATTCCCTTCTTCAAGTTCTGCTGAGCTCAGACAGAACAGCATGTGCCCTACGTGCAGAGGACTGTGAGTGTTTGAAGTGGCACAAGTGTATGGTATCTCCTGCATTTGTAGGACATGAGCAGCCAAGAGAGGCAACGCTTGGGGTGTTGGTGGATGAGAACTTTGGCATGGCACAAGTGTGCACTTGCAGCCCAGAAAGCCGTGTCCACGCTGCATCAAAAGCAGCGTGGCCGGCAGGTCCAGGGAGGTGATTCTGCCCCTCTACTCTGCTACCATGAGATTCCCCCAGGAGTGCTGCATCTGTCTCTGGGGTCCCCAGTGTAAGAAGGACATGAACCTGTTGGTGCAAGGAAGGCCATGAAGGTCAGAGGGATGGAGCACCTCTCCTATAAAAGGCTGAGGGTTGGGGTTGTTCAGCCTGGAGAAGGCTCCAGGGAGACCTTAGAGCAGCTGCCCAATACCTAAAAGGGCCTTCAAGAGAGCTGGAGAGGGACATTTTTGCAAGGGCATGTAGTGACAGGACAAGGGGTAATGGCTTTAAATTGAAAGTAGATTTAAATTAGATATAAGAAGGAAATTCTTCTCTATAGGGGTAGAGAGGCACTGGACCAGGTTGCCCAGAGAAGCTTTGGATGCCTCACCACTGGAAGTGTTCAAGGCCAGGCTGGCTGGGGCTTTGAGCCTCTTGGTCTAGTGAGTGTCCCTGCCCACGGCGGGGGGGTAGGAAAAGGATGGCCTTTACAGTCCCTGCCATGGCGTTCCCGTTAGCCCAGGCCGGGCCGCAGCTGCCGCGCTCCCGGCCCTGCTCGTCCCGCCCCGCTCCGCCGCCGGGCCGCTCGGCGCGGGGTCCCGCAGCCCCGCCCCGGAAGCCGCGGGGGATGGCGGTCGCGGGGCGGCGGCGGCGGCGGGAGCGGCGGCGGGGCCGGGCGGGGCGGGCGCGGCGCGGGCGGGCGGGCGGCGGCGGGCGGCGCCCCCCGGCAATATGTTCAAGAGAATGGCAGAGTTCGGGCCTGACTCCGGCGGCAGGGTGAAGGTGCGGCCGGCGGGGCCTCGGCAGCGTCGGCGGGAGTCGGGCCGCGAGGGGCAGCGCCTTTCTAACTGTGCCTGCCTGGTTGTCTTCCTTGTGTTTAAGGGCGTTACCATTGTGAAGCCGATCGTGTACGGGAACGTCGCGCGGTATTTTGGGAAGAAGAGGGAGGAGGATGGCCACACTCACCAGTGGACGGTGTATGTGAAGCCGTACCGGAACGAGGTATAGCCGGGCTGCTCAGGGAAGGGGGATCAGGCGTTGGAACAGCTGCCCGGGGAAGTTCGGGAATCGCCATCCCTGGGAGCGTTCAAAACGCGTGTGGATGTGGCACCTAGGGACGTGGTTTGGTGATGGCCCTGGCAGCGCTGGGTTAAGGTGTTAGAGGTGTTTTCCAGCCCAAGCCATGCTCTGTGCCTTGGGGAGCGCGGGCAGGGTAATGCCAGGCGAGCAGCACTGGAACGGGCCGGGCTCTGAAAAGTTGGGCTTTGAGAAAAGGGCAGAAAGGCCTTGTGGCAAAAGCAGAGGAAACTAATAGGCTGGTGGGTTTCCCAAAGGGAAAAAGATGAGGAAAACATATTTCTTTTTACGTTTTTGGAGTAATCTTTCCAGGTTAGGGGAAAGAGTGGAGAGCATTTAGGAGGACAGTACTGACAGACCTGTGTGCTGGTACTAATTTTTGGATTCACCATTTTGCTTTCTATCTGTGTTTAAACTCAGAAGAAATACTGTGCTTGTGTCAGAAGGAATGGTAGGCGTGTAGGATAGATGACTAAAGAGTAGGTTGGTGTGCTGTATGAATAATCAGAAATACCAATGTTTCTGTTTTAGGACATGTCTGCCTATGTGAAAAAAATTCAGTTCAAGTTGCATGAAAGCTATGGTAATCCTTTAAGAGGTAGGTTTTGCATTTGAGCATTTGTTCCTAGAACTGGGCTTTTGTTCCAGTTTTTTATTCCTTTTATTATTCCACTAAGGCTCTGTCATTGTGTTAACACTTCTGTGTTTCTTACTGTAGTTGTTACCAAACCACCGTATGAAATCACCGAAACAGGCTGGGGTGAATTCGAAATAATCATTAAGATATTTTTCATTGATCCAAATGAAAGACCTGTAAGTACATTGAACTTTTAACAACACTTTAATAATTAATTATGGTGGCCTGAAGCTGTGCTCTAGGATATTGCTGGTCAAAATAAGTCACATAAGCCATGGAAGTAATAAAGCCTGTTCTTGTAGAAAGTGAATTTAACGACTGGCCACATTTTCCTGTTTCTGTGCTTTGCTACAGGCATTCACGACTGCTTTTCCTGCACTTGGCTTCTCTCACATTTACTAATATGTGACTGCATGTTGCACCTTACTTGGTTCGAGCACACGCTGAGGCTTTCTCTTCCATGTAGCTTCCTAGTTCTAGGATATATGAATATTTTAACTTTTTTTTTTGTCAGATCAAAATCAGTCAAAAAGCAGTAAAGGTACTATGCTAGCATTAGTCTCTACCCTAAGGAAATCAGGTTAAGACATTCCTGTAGTTGCATAAAGCACTGGAATTAATTTTCTTTCCTTCCTGCGCTTTAGACGTATCTTGTAGGTTTGTTTATACAGGTTTAGGTAGGAAACTCGATTACCCTGTTTTAGGGGAAGAGGATGTTTATTTCTGAAGGACTGAGTTACTTCTGTTGCATGAACTGCAGCAATCCTTTTCTATATCCACTTTTTGCTAAATGGGAGGGAAACTGAATTTTTTGTTTTTCTTGAATATGTGACGATTGATAGAAAGGGCTTCTTGTGCTGTTGTACTCAGTAGCATTGTGACTTATCCTAATTCTGTTCACAGCTTGACCAAGCTGTCCTAAAGTTGGTTGGGTGTTTTTTTCTTTGCTGCTGTTCTTGGAAGGCTGTTTCAGAGCCTGTCGTGTTCTTCCTTTCCAGGAAGTACCAAGTGGAGTAAGGTATTGCTCTGTTCCAAGACCACTCATGGGGCCTGTTTGTGGAAGGAGTGAACTGTGGGCTGTGTGTCCTTTACCCAGGCCATGATCCAAGTGGTTAGTGGTTCCTCAGGGCTGGAGAGAGGGCTTCCATTCCTCTCCCCACCCTGCCATGTGCAGTGCAGTAATGGAAGAGTAACTTCATAAAGAGAGATTTCAAGAAAAAGCTATTCACAGCCCCCCCGGTGTTTCTCTTTCACGAGAAGGGATGATAAGGTCACAGAAAGCACTTTCTAACTGATGAATTGGGAAAGTTGGTTTGAATTAAATGACCAATTTGGAAATGTTTGAGAGAAGGTGGTAGTAGTAGTAGCTTTTATACAACAGTCCTAAACCACTTGCCCAGACACTTCTGAAGTATCAAGAAACCTTTGGCTAATTGACATGTTTTAACAATTAATACTGAATATAAGTAATTCCACTGAAGCTATATGACATTTTTTTTTTGCATTCCTAAAAGATTTTTAAATCCTATACAATTGTTTTGTAGGAATGAATGCTACTTGTTGATATCTAGAACAAGATTTCTATTTCCCTACAATTGTTAAGCTAATAAAATTCTGTCTTTGCATAGGTAACCTTATATCACTTGCTGAAGCTTTTTCAGTCGGATACAAATGCCATCCTGGGGAAGAAAACTGTAGTTTCTGAATTCTATGATGAAATGGTATGAATGTTTTTAATGTAATCCTCACTTTATTTTGAAGAGTATTAGTGATACTATGTATTTTTTTCCTTCATTAGATATTTCAAGATCCTACTGCAATGATGCAGCAGCTGTTAACAACATCTCGTCAACTAACACTAGGTGCTTATAAGCATGAAACAGAGTGTAAGTTGAAAATTAAAATATTTTAATTTTAGAAATAAACAGTAGTTGGTTTTGATTTTATTGCTTTTCTTTTCCTGGGCTGTAACAGTACAATGGATTTGGATGCTGATAAAAAGTGGTATTTTTACATTAAATTTAACTTCAGTTTTTGCAAAGAAATTAATACTTACTTGAAAACTTTTAAGATTTTCTAATCTGTATGCCTGCTGAAAAAAAATAAGGAATTACTCAGTATGAAGAGTGATGGTGTGATCTACACCTAATTTAACATCTTTGAAATGAGTCAAAACCGAATAAATGAAGGCCACCCTGTGGTACACTTCTGTTCAACACTGCAAGCAAAGGTCACACTGGAAGCACTGAAATAAGAACAGTTAGTGGTGTTTAAGTCAAAGCAGCAGCCCTTTGGAAATAAAGAGTAGTATCTGAAAGCTGTTCCTGTCTTTTTCCCTTCTAGTTCTTGAGCTGTAGGTAGTTTCATAACATACTTCTTCAGTACAGCATTATGTTTTTTGTGTCCTTTTTATCTAATTTGTCTCCAAATATAAACAAAAATATTAAGGGAATTAAAGAAATTAAATAAAGATCCGTTGGTTCATAAATCGTAATGCATTTAGTGAGGATTTCTGTTCTGATCTTCTGGATTTCATCTCTTATCTTCTACTCTCAGAAAACAAATGTAATATTTATTGAACCCAAATCCTACCTTGTTAATTACAAACTCTAATGCCATTGTAGTCCAGCTCACCTGGCCTTATGTTCACCTGACAAAAAATGTCAAGTATTTTTTGGACAGCAAATGCCTAGAGCTAAAGAGTGGAGGGTGATTATGAGTTTGACGCTCTTCAAAGTTCAGGTTCTGATTTGCCTTATGTCTGCTTGGCTGTGGATGCGTGAGCTCGTGTATTTTCTACATCAGTTTAGCCAGTCTTGAGGTGGATTTTTGTTATATTGCATGTCGTCATGGTTTTCATTTAGAAAATGTTTAATAATACGATTCATAAAAAAGTCTTGTCCACATTTAAACATTTCTGACTTCAAATTTTTGGGTGTTTCTCTGGAGAGTAGATAGAAACTTTTAGTATGTTTTTTGTATATATATTTCCTTAAAATGTGCCACCAAAGTAGATAAAATTTGCCACTGCTCCACGATTATGTAATGTATGGGATATGAAGGGATCTCCGTGGCCTTCATAGATTTGTTGGCTTTACCATCTCTATCCAAAAACTTGTACATGAAAAAATAATAAGAAAAGATACTTGATGTCAGGGATTAGTAGAAGCAAAGGCAGCACCACTATTGTTTAGATATGTAGAATTAAACTCCAATGAGACAAAGAGTAGAAGGTGGTTACAGTACTTGGAAAAGGAACCACAGAATGGTGGAGACTTGAAGGGACCTCTAGTGCCATCATGTCCACCACCTGCTCAAGCAGGGCCACCTGCAGCTGATCTGTGTCCAGACAGCTTCTAAATGTCTCCAAGGATGGAGACTCCACAACCTCTCTGGGCAACCTATGCCAGCACTCGGTCACTTTCACAGTAAAAGTTTCCCGATGTTCAGAGGAACCTCTGATGTTTCAGTTTGTGCCTGTGGCCTCAAGTGCTGTCACTAGGCTTCACATACTCATAGTTGTCTCTAATTTCCCATTTGCTGTCACCATGTCAGGTTTTATTTAATCTTAAAGAAAAAGCAAATGATTTCATGAATTGTGTAACTCCATCCACAAAACTGCTGAGCTGAGGGCTGAATGAAGCCACAAAACAAACTTTCTGAGTTTTTTTAAATCCAGGTTTGATTTGGATACCATTTTGATTACAATCATTGAATCTCTAAGGCTAACAGCAATAGATTTTTTTTTCAGGACATACGCCATCAAAATTACTGTTTCAGTTAAAAAAAATAATTACAACTTTTTGTGGTATTTACAATATTTATTTTTCTTTATCACCACCATAGTTGCAGATCTTGAAGTGAAAACCAGGGAAAAGCTGGAAGCTGCCAAAAAGAAGACTAGTTTTGAAATTGCTGAGCTTAAAGAAAGACTAAAAGCAAGTCGTGAAACTATCAACTGTTTAAAGAATGAAATCAGAAAACTTGAAGAAGATGATCAGTCTAAGGATATGTGACAAGTGTGGACTTGATAAAGAGCCTATGCTGAAAATGGGAGGACTTCAGTCATGGAACTGTATGAGTTCAGTTCTATAATCAAGACTATGAGAATTTCACTGGCAAGTGATTGAAGTTTGTGGGAATCAACTTTATAAATGGAAGAAAAAAGAAAGAATGTATCCTTGTTTTATAGTTAAAATCTGTGGGTACTTAACAACTTATTTCAAGTAGAAGGGGTCTCAGAGACCAGACTTATTTCTTTTTTTTTTAAACTGCATTTGAGTCGTATATGAAAACTTTGTATTAAGTCTTGTATTAGTTCAATGTTATTTTACGAAATGCTGGTGTTTACTTTTTTTACTTGTTTTTTTTCTACTGATTGTTTAGAGGTGCATCTTTAGAGCTAAAAATAAAATATGCAATTTTTTATTTTAATATATTTTGTCTCCATCCACCTGCAGAATTGTAAGGAACAATTGTAAATAGCATACCCTGATTTAAGGCAGAGGTTGAAATACAGTCATATGCAAGTTGTTTAAGTCTGGTTACAGTGATTTTGGCGTGTCTGTTACCAGCACAGTGAAAACACTTTCTGAAAACAGGATTTTAAATAACTTCTATATCTACAGGTAAGAGTTTCTAGCCTCAAAGCTGCTCCAACGTATATAAGTGCATCAGTTCTACAAGCTGTGCACAGAAGCAGGAGATTATTCCAGTCCTGATTTGTAGGAGTTTAATACTTGTACTGTACTACAGTCACTTCATCAAACACTGTCTCTGCTGCTCCTTCCTTCTACCACTCTTCCCCTGTTCCAGCATGGGTCCCTCCTACAGAGGACAGTCCTCCATGAACTTCTCCAATGTCAGTCCTTCCAATGGGCTACCACTCCAGCATGGGTCCCCTGCAGGGTCACAAGTCCTGCCAGCAAACCTGGTCCAGCATGGGCTCCTCTCTCCCCAAGGCTACAGGTCCTGACAGGGCCCTGTTCCAGTGTGCGTTTCTCACGGGGTCACAGCCTCCTTTGGGCATCCACCTGCTTTGGTGTGGGGTCCTCCACGGGCTGCAGGTGAATCTCTGCTCCACCGTGGACCTTCATGGGCTGCAGGGGGGCAGCCTGTCTCACCATGATCTGCACCATGGGCTGTACGGGAATCTCTGCATCTCCTCCCCCTCCTTCTCCACTGACCTCAGTGTCTGAACAGGTGTTCCTCTCAAATATTCTCACTCCTCTCTCCACTCCTGTTCCCCCCACAGCAGGTTTTTTTTTTTCCCCTCTTCTTAAATCTGTTACCTCAGAAGCCCTACCACCGTGGCTGATGGCCTTGGCCTTGGCCAGCTGCAGATCTGTGCTGGAGCCATCTGGTGTTGGCTCTGTCTGACGTGAGGGAAGTTTCTGGCAGTTTCTCACAGAAGCCACCTCTGTAGTGCCCTCACTACCAAAACCTTGCCATGCAAACCCAGTACATATTCTTAAGTCACTAACATGTTTTCCCCCTGAAAAATCAGTACATGATCTTAGCAATGCTTTGAGAACAAAGCATTCATTTCTTCCTATTTGAAACAAGTGATGATTGGCTTTTACTGTGGCTTGGTAAAGATTTAGAACTGAACTTAAGTTTCATCACTCACTATGTAGACTTCAGTTTTTCATTAAGAACAGTAACAAACTTGACATATTTGGTTTATGGTATGTATAGACATAGATGAGGAACAGCTTGTACCAGCAGTGTCCACACAGATCCTTCCTAGCACTGCACACTATCCACGTTTTTCTGGCTAGCTAAGTGCTTTGGTTTATTGATTCAGTAGCCAGTTTCCTTTTAAGCAGCAGCTGAAGAAGAATGTGAGAATTTCACTTCAGCAGAATGCCATTTCCAGAGCTGTGCATTGAAAATAAGACTGGCATGGGTCACAGTATATTGTGCATGCTGAAACAAAAATGGTAATGGAAAGCACAGTTTTGGTGATACTAGGTTGTATGTGACATTAGATTTGTCAGTTAAATTACTACTAATGAGGACTAACTCAGATGGAATATTAAACAAGTTCTGCAAGAGCTGTGACTAACATGAACAGGTTTGCTGAAACAGACTTGAACAGACCGAAAAAGAATAGAACCTTTTGAATCCAACGTCTCTGTAGAAGCCTAAAGTATTCTATTTGTTTACATCTTTAATAACATCCAATAAACAGCCTCCTATCCAACTTTACAGAAGCAATGATCCTGGCTCCACTGTTAGTAGCCATCAGCATGCTTGACCAGTGATGTAGTTTTTGTTTGTGGTTAGTGGTCTTCTTTTCCTCCATTTTTCTTTCAACTTTTTGTATTTTTTCTCCTTTGTGCTCTCTGCAAACATCACAGAAGAATCGTTAGGCTCCTCTGTCAATAGTAAGGCAAGAAAACAGTCCTAACACAGCACAGTGTCTGTGCTGATCAGTTACTGTTGATAGACAACAGGAAGACTACCTTGTGCTTTCCAAAGTTCCCTCTTATGTTCTGTGCTTTCATTAGAAAATACTTTCTTTAGATGCTGTGCTCTGCCTATAAGAGTTGTTGATGCACACACCTGAGAGAGCATGTGTACGCCGTAGATCTACAGTAAGTGCTGACCTTCTAGTGCATATCATTTTCAAAGTTACTAGAACTGAAATAGAGTGGGGCACCTAAGGACACAGTTGCATTTGACCTCCATTGCCTTGAAGAAAAACACAAACACTACGCTCTGCTTTACTGTTGGCAGTTCTACGGAGTTCCAGACAAATAGTTATGGTTTGTGCTTACCAGGGTCCTAACTTAAATGCTAGCTATTTTTATTGCTGAGACTGACTTCAGACTGTGGTTTCATCCTGAGTTAAAATTGTGAAACAAATGTATTTAAATCTTGCTTTGCAAAGGAGGGGAAAAAACTCTCACTGTGCTGTAGGTACACTTTGATATTGCTGAATCACACAGTAACTTGTTCAATTTTTTACACTGAAGCTTTAGGCTCCACTTGAAGTAACCCTTTGGTAGGTAAAGATAAAACATGGTTTATTTTACCAATGAAGAATGTTTACTTCAGGCATCAAATGTGCTAAACTAGTAGTGTCATTGCCTCTTCCACTATAAAGACTTGGGGGTTTTAAGCGTTTCAGCTAAGACAAATTAACACTCATCACAGTAATTTCAGACACTGACTGGTTACTCACTACCCAGTGTTATGTATCACTAGTCCTTTTCTTACCCAGCTCCATCTCATATAATTCAGTCCTTTCCTTTGGGTTTGGCACACTGTAATTTACTCTAAGACTGTGCAGTCTTAGAGTAAGGCTGTTGCCTGGGAGGTTTCCCATGAAGAGTGCCATTATCTGACAGGAGATGTGTAGATACAGTTAAGTCAAAGATTTACTTGAGAATTTTTGTAGTTAGTAGAGATGGAACTAGGACTAGAAAGACTAGAAGGAATATTAAGTCACCCTCTTCATTTTCTTTCTAGACAGGTGCTGGTAATAACACCAACTCTTTGCTGTTTATGCATTTAATTAATAATAAATATACCAGTGTTTGTTTGTTTACTTCTTAATGGGGATACAGATTTAAGAGAATTTCAGGTTGTTTTCACACATAAGGTTGTTTTCCAAACACCAGGTGGCAGGTATGTCCAAAATATTCTCCAGTCCCAACAGCAGTTTAATTATTAGGATTTTTGGAAGATCTGTGATATCTTTGGTTGATCTCATTTTCTTTGAGATTTGATCATCTGATTAGACAACTTGTATTTGTTTCTGTAGAGATGACCAAATTATCTCTTGCATGTTATGAAACTGTTTGGCAGCCTTGTCAACAAATCAAGTGTGATGTGCCAGGAAGCAAAAAAAAAGTGTTTGTTTACAAATTTTGTTCATTTGTCAAGGAAAGCAGCTTTCAAAATGCAAATCTTAGGGGTTGTTTTTAGATTTGTTTGTTGTGTTTGTTTTTTTGTTTTTTTCTTTTTCAGGCCAAGATTGTGTGACAATAGTATAACTTAGGCAGTCTATTGGACTGCATACTTTGCTTGCACTCAGTTGCTTGTACTTCAATTGCAGGTCCAAAATGGCAAGATTTTCCACAAGTAAAAGTAGTTAATCTTTTAAACTTAATGTTAATAAAGGCAATAAGCTTCTTTGACTAATTAATGCTTAATGAATACTGTGAATGAACCTTTGGCTTCCAAGTGTGTTGAAACTTCTAATTTTCCTGAATATAGCAGGGAAGAACAGCTTAAGTAAGGGAAAGAAAAGAGAATTAGGATGGTAGAAAAGAATAGCAACAATGAAAGATTCCTGTTATATATTATGTATTTGGCTGGGATTTATTTAACATTCATTTATGATATATTTATACTATTTCCATTTTAAAATATTTTAAACTAGAACATGAAATCATGTAAGTTTCTAGTGAAACAGTCTTGCCTATGCAATAGCCAGCAAACATCCAAAATTAAAATTTGCATTTAGATTTTTGTAGGAAAACCCTCAAGAATGCCAGGTGATTAGGCCATAAAAAGAAGTAATTAGCATTGCAATATGCAGTATTTGTCCTACTAGCCCCCTAATAATTACTATACTTTGTAAGGTGTTCATTTGTTAAATGAGAGGCTGGCCCTTCATATTCCCACAGTTGTTGGGAATTCTGTACTTTAGGACAGAAACAAATTTCACCTGATCTACTGGCTGCTGCTTTTCTAATACTTTCACCTCAAGTGTTCAACATCTTTTTTCTTCGATGTCTTACTTCTGCAACGTCTGGCAGATTTCATGTTTTTTTCAGTCTACAAATCAGCTTTATTTCAAATAGCACATTTTATTTAACCTCTGATCTAGAATGTTAATAAAATGCATGGGTTTTATTTTAACAGGCTTTTAAGTTTCTCAGTGAAACATTCTGTTATCTTTAATCTTAGGATCAAGAAACAGGACATACGACTAAGAAAGGTCTTCCTCACCCACTGAATTAAGCAGACAGAATTGCACCTCAGTTGAAATTACTTCAAACAATAGATCATAGAATCATTTCACAGTTAAATCATGGTTTCTAAGCTTGCATCTTTAAGCACTACCATGCTGGGTAAATATAAGTATTTAAAGTGGGTAAAACCAACAAGGTTTATGTCTCTCTGCGTGTAACAAGGGTGACTACTTTTGGACTCAAAATTTGGAGAATGAATAGTGCTGCACCACTGTATTGTTCCATGCACTAAGTCTGTTGAATGTAGCAGGACCCGCATGTGGCAAGAATTAATCCAGGTAATTTTTGTTTTAATCACTGTCCTGATTAAAGTGATAACTGTGTCCCACCTAAAGCTCCATTCAGGTCCTAAGCCACCTGAACTCTGAGTAGGTGATAAGGAGAATGTTGAGAAGTTAGGTTTGAGGAGCTTGCATTTAACTTTTGGTGTTATTTCCTGGTTTCTGTATGGAAGTTTATGCAGTAGTTGAAGCATTTTCTTGGTAAGCTAAATACTCCCAAGGAAAACTGAACCTGCATCACACAGTTTTAGAAGTTCTTAACCATGAGATCATGAGAGTATTCCAGCACTGCTGCCCACAGTGAGCTGTGACAGTCAGCTCTGCGACTTCTCTAGGACTGGATAGGGAACAGGTGAAGGAAAACTATAACCTCAGTTAGCAATTAGGGCGTTGGAAAAAACAAATGGAGTGCTTTTTTCAAGCTGAGTAAAGCCACCATCTCAGAAAAGGGTTATATCCTTAGTAAATAAAATGTCTAAATTAGATGAAATTGTTTTCCCATTACCTTCAGAAGTTACACAACTTTTTAGTGATTGTAGAATAAATGTATATATTGGACAAATTAGAACTGATTTTTTTCCTTCTTGCTACAGGTTAAGCAGGATTAAACCAGACAGACTGAATTCCAGCACCCTACTACATAGTGTTTAAAGTGATCAAAGCATCCACTGCTTTGCAAAGCTTTGTAGTTGCTCTGAATCTTCCTTTTATAGTCCTTATCAGCAACAGCCAGGAGTTGCAGTGTTAGATGAGCATGGGCATTGCCCTGGATTATGACTAAACATTGTGGGCAATATCAGAGGGCAAAACTGATTTGATATGCACTCAACTGCCAGGCCTGCAGGTCACCATGCTCCTCTCAGGTAGTAGTTTTACTCTTGGAGCATCTCATCATTGATCAGTCTGCTAGTCCCGTGTCCTGACAGATCCATTCTACATTATGTAACAGTCAGGAGTCTACAATTTCAAATAGCAAACACAGCCTAGATTAATTTAAAATAAACTGTGTTTTGAGTTTTGCATCTTTTTTTATCAATGAACAAGAAATTAGTCCTAGTCCTTGTGCATTTTCTGAGAATAGAGAAGATATATTTCTAAGACTGTGATTTCTTTCTAGTATCCTTCCCCCCGCCCAAGAATAAAAGGCAGAAACAAAGTAATTACTTTTTTGGAACAGGCTGGCACACTATGAGTATTTTAAAATGGATATGCAGCAAAACTTTTCATGGATTCATTGTTTGAAAAGAGCTTCCTCATATTTTAATCTGATCTCATGTGGTACTAAATGCTTGCAAGTGCCCTGCCTCTGCATTTGCAGCTGGAAATGCTCAGTAGTTCAATAAATAGACCTTACCTTCAATCCTTGTGAAGTGAGTGGGTTTCCATCAGACCTCTGGCGAATGATGGTAAAAAATCAGCAAATGAAGAAATCACATTTTAATAGTTGAAGGGTCACTTAGTAATGTTTTATATTTCTTGATAGTTAAGACTTTACAGCATTTCTTTACAGGTATTAAGCTAAGGCTTTTGGACATCTGAAAATATCGTATGTATAAATTTAAGCAAACCCCTTCTTCAATTTGCTACTACATGCCCTCTTGTTGACTGCAGTCAACAAGATTTGCCCCTCATAAGTTCCATCACTCTCCTCAGTTCTATGCTACAGCTCCTTCAGCACTCAAAAAAGACTAGAGAGAAATGATCTGTAAGACATAAAGCAACTTATAGCTTGTTTTTTCTGCTGCTGTTACTTCCTGAGCTTTATTTGACACTGATGCTGTAGAGTGCAAGCTTCAGTCTTACCTAAATCTAGAGACAGTTTGTGTGACAACTCTCAATATACTTTGTGATAATCTAACAGCTGTCCACATTCAAGCATGTTGAACTTGGTTAGTGGCCAATATATACCCGTGTCACTTCTCTGTGGTCTTGTGTAAAAATAACCCAAAAAACCAAAACCCCGTGGCTGAACCTCTATCATAGTGTCCCTTATACAAAAAATAAAATTTGCCGATCTACTGTATTTTAATAACATTTTGTAAACACCATCTAATGCTAAATCATTGATGTTTTGCATCAGATGCTTGTTATCATTACAGCTTTGGTTGGAATTTCTGTCTAAAAAACTCTACCACCACATAAATCAACTCAGGTACTTGGGTTTATTCTGATCTCTTTACTGCTCCATAGTCATACTTGTTTGAGGACTGACTGTAGTTTACTCTACTTGGATTAGAATTGCATCCAAAGTAACTTCAGTAAAGACACTTTGTAATTGCGAAGCAGAACTGGATTTGAAATAACGTTCTCATGATCAAAGATTCCAAGAAGCTTTTGTAGTAATTGGAGAATAACAACTATATAAAATGTGTTTGCTTCTCATATTTAAATGAAGCATAAAGATAAAATGCATGAGAGGCATATTAAATGAACACATAGATACTTAATCTGATAAGACCAAAGCAATTGAGTGGGATTTTAATTTAGGCATTTGCCTGACTTTGTAAAAAAAAAAGTTTTTGAAGTAATGCTGGCTTTGTTCCATAATATCTGAAAGGTTCACTCAGTTGTGGATTGCTCCACTGGGCTATTCCCTTCCCTGATGACATATTATTATTTATATTGAATCCTGAGAATACTGCACATGTAAAATGCACAGGCAGAGTTCCAGGCCTGAAGGCCTGCAATCTGAACAGGCAATATAGGATGGGTGGTATAATAAATTGCAGTTCTTTACTTCCACTGTTAGCAATGTCTTTCAGCTCCAAAATTATACCCTTCATCCACTTTGATTTGAAGAAGTAGTCAGTACAGTTCTCATCCTGTCGCAACACAACTCGTTCAGACTATAGCGGATAAGTGAAGCAACTGCTGTCTATGAGTTTCACCATCTTTAACAAACTAGACTAATTTAAAAAAATTAGTATTCCAGGAAGTACTTGCAATGGTTCTTATGATTTTGAAAAAGGAGAGCTGGAAATAAGACTTGAGCATAATTTTTCTGAAACTCTCCCATTAGCAGCAAAAAGGCTTTGATCTGAGGTATGGAGTGGGTATGTAGTTGTTTGGTACAGAACTAAGTAGCCTTAGGAAGAAAGCTTAAGAATAAAATCTCTAAGCATCTTGCTTCGTTACTTTGACAAAATAGGCCTGTAGCTGCCATTTTTGAATGCAGAACAAAAACCCCAAATACTTCAGGCTGCTTCACAGAAGTTTGCACTGACAAGTGGGTTTTATTTAAGACCAGGATACCCAGCCTGCCCTGAGCTCTGACACAAACAACAACTATTTGAACATCTCAGGAAAGGCCAAGAGTACGACAGAGAGAAGAAAAAAAACATCAAAGATCATCTATGGTCCACAGTTACCAGTTTGGTTCTTCTGCCATAATGAAGCTCTCTGCCATGAGGGGACTGAAGCTTTCTTAGCAGTAGAATGAACTTCCACAAGTCAGACTCATAAACTTCAGCGTTTCTCACTTCACCTTGAAGGTCTGTTCCGTTGGGTTCTTTAGCGTAAACACAAGCCATTTTTTAAAAATGCTTCATTAAAGCAAAAACTGTTCTGTCATCTCTCCCTTGTCCTGCTAAGAAGCAATATGGAATAACAAATGCATTTGAGACAAATCTCTCTCTGTAATAGAGTGAGCTAGTCCTACCTGAATCAAACTGCTTTGGGAAAAATTATATGAGCAGCACTTTCTTGGTCTCCAACCTTCAGACTCTTCCCCATACTTGTTTCTGTGTGAGGGAATAATGTTGATATATATCTTGATTTTGTCCCTAAATTGGCTTAAAATATATGCTATTATATGCTACTGAAGGGAAATCTAATTATTTCTGCTTAAAATAATCGTTGCTTAAAACACCATTACATCAGAAAGTCTGCTTTTATTTCTCTTGTTTCAAACAATTTTATGTAGTTTGCTTCTACTGGCTTTATGTGTGAATTCAGGCAGTCCTGAAAGTGAGAAATAATACACTGGATGCAAAATGAGGCAGTGTAAAAGCAGCTTTACATTCTATTACTAATAATTCTGCTTCACCACATTTCATCTTTTCTTCTTCTATGCCTCTTCTGAGAGAACATGCCCAAAGTTATTTCACAGATTTGTGTTGTCTGTCTCAGCTCTAACTTCAAAAGTTATTTTTTCAAGGGTTGGAGTGGTTGCTCATTTTGGACGGCCAGTTACCCTCACTTGGTGGTTTCTGCTCACATGGTAATAAAGTTCTTGCTTTCCTGAAGAAGTCCATTCCTTATATACTGGGGAAAAATAAAAAAAACCCTGGCATTTATGCTTTTCTTTCCTTAAAACGTCAGGTTATGATCAGTACTTCAGCAGCAGCTTCATAAACTGAGCCTTCCCCCAAGCAACAGTGAAACCCTTCAAGAAGAGGGTAGATGGTATCTTTCACAGTCCTTCCTTCAATTTTCATCTGTCTGTATAAATCACAATGCTCAGTTATCTGCTCATGTCCAGATGTGATTTTGGAGTACGTGGGACAAAGGCATATGAACGAAGGAGAGCAAAGCCTGCTCTACCAGTGTTCAGAACAGCTGATCTTGCACTTTCTTTGACCACTGCTTTCACTAACAAATTATGATTAAGAGGCAGAAGAGTAATCCTGCCAGTATGAGCTTGGGTTCCCTCTGCAGATTTACTGATGAGTAGGCAGAGTTGTTTTGGAAGACAGAGAGTGTGTTTTACTGTTTTTCAACATGACAATTTGACTTCTTCAGAGAAGCTTTCATTTCTTGCATGATCCCACAGAAACTGCACAACATCACCTGAGTCCAATTTATTTCGCTATTTACACCAAAGTTAATTTGAAGTAATGTATTTTATCTTTTCTACTCTAGATAGGAAAACCACTGGATTAAAACAAACACCATTATATCTGATTTTGCTAAGTCAGGTCTATCACTGGTAGGGGAAAAATCCAGGTTGCAATTTTAAATGTTCCTTTAAACATTCTTCCTGATCATACCCAAAGGCAATTTTCTGGAAAAAGACAGGGTATCACTCTCATTGCACAGGACACAGTGACTCTGTGTAAGAGAAAGGAGTTTCAGAAAGGCAGAGGTAACACTGGTATGTAATGTGGATTAGAATTTGACATTGAAAACCATTTCCCAAAGACAATTCATTTATTCTGCCAACTACAGTGTCCCCTAGTTATGCAAATGACCAAGCAGAGCAGCAATTATCTGCCTGTGATGGATGCAAGTTTTTCCACCACTGCTAACTTACATTTTCGAGAAGGTACCTGCTGTGCCTGTAGGCACCAGGTCTCCTCAGAGTCATTTTAATAATCTTTGTGCATGAAAAAGAAGTTTATTTAAATGTAGTCCTGGAACCTGGAATGATTAATTCATCCATTCCTGAAAAGCATTCTGTAAGCTGATGGCAAAATACATACGGGAACAGCCATTCTAGTAAAAGTTTACATCAATTTGCTATTTTTCTTCCCTCACTGTCTCAGATCTTATATGTTGCCATGCTGTCACCAGACTTTCTGCTACTGCCACGCTTTTCCTGACTGGAAACCATAGCAGGACATATTCGTGCAAGAATGCAGCCCCAAGGAAAAAGTAGTGTTATTTTTAACATTTTCTCTCTAGTAGTCACCATTCATAACTTACAACATATACTGTGAAAAGACTGAGAAAACCATTGATTGATTTAAATCTGCCTTAATTTTTGACTAAAGGCAAAAACTTCACACACTGGTGCTTAATCATACTTCGCATCATGTACAAGCATGCAGTTTTCCATACAAATTCCATAAGGTGTTTAATCTGCTATTGCAAAAATACTTATTTGCATACAATCACACCCTGCTGTGGTTTTAAATGTTTTCTGAGAATACATTTTGAACCTATTATCTTAACCTCACTGCCTTTCTACCCACATACAGACTAACAGACATGCAAACCCTTTAATTTTTATTCAGGTCTGACTGTAATTAACTTGAAGTGCATTTGTTCTTTAAAACTATAGGACTCAGCTTATTCCATAAGTATTGCTGGTGAATACACTTTTGTTAAGTTGCTGGGCTATAGCAGGGTCTTCAGCTTACAAATAAAAGTTCTTATTACAGGAGAAAACAGTGATGGGCAGTTGTGGGTGTTTCTGTAGTCTGAATTGTTTGTTCATGCCATGCGTGCCAGATGTTCAACAGAAGCAGTCAGCCACAAACAACACTATCTTATCTTTCAAAAATCTTAACCCAAGTACTGAGAAGCACCGACCCTAGTTAAAGACATCAGGGTGAAGAATATCTTATCACTGACTTTCTTGTTGCAGACAGGTTTGATACAGATGCAGAGAATACGTACCTGCACAATCACATCACGTGACATGGCAGCACATGCTATACTAGGTATACTCTTCCCCATCATTCAGCATCTGACAAATGAATTATATGTAATTTGTTTAAAGAAGACATTGGAAGTAATAAACTCAAAAACTGTAAGCATAGATGACAGTACTATCTCCTGCTATAGCTGCACTCTGACAATCAACTCCTTGACATATTTTTACAAAGTATGTTAATGACTACTGTCAAACCACTGGACAGAAAATACCATAGCTGACTCTTGCTTGCTTTATGCCAAATCCAAAGTGTCTTTATCCCCACTATGTTCTTGCATTGAGTTTTAATATGTAATAGTTAACCCAGACCAAATATATTCCACTTCTGTCATCAGTATGCCATATGAAATAATGTACAGTTGGGGAACAAGCATGTGGTAAGAACCCACCTTAAGAAACCAGAAACATGTAGGTTGCAATGGGCCTCAGGAAGCCACCTAGGACAGCCTACGGCTCAAACTGGGGCCAGTCTGTGCAGATTGCTCAGGACCATGTCTACTCAAACTTAAAGTATCTCCCTGAAAGGAGGGAGCACCTCTTTGGGAAACTTCTTACAATATTTGACTACCTTCACGATAGAAAGAAAGACAGAAAAAGAGAGAGAGAGAGAGACTGTACCTAAGCAGAATTTACCATGTTTTAACATTTGTCCATTCCCTCTCAGCCTGTCACTGTGCACCTCTGAGAAGAATCTGGCTCGGTTTTCCATGCAAACAACAGCAGTAAGATCTTCCCTTATCCACCTCCCTGAGGCTGAATAATATCAGGTCCCTCAGTCTTCTCCGATACACCATTTTTCCAGAACTCTGACCATCTTGGTGTCTCTCTCCTATACTAGCTGCAAAATGGCCATACTGTATCAGACTACACAAGTATCTGTAACTCACTTCTGAATGTAATGACCAGGACTAAAGAGTCAGGAAGAGAGTATAAAGAATAGGTTGGGTATAGAGCAATCCTTCTCGATATATATTCACTTTTCAGTAAATCATTGACTAGGGAAAAGTAGAACCAAAGGCCACTGTATTCCATTCAACTTACTGCTTCCCTTTTGAGTTTATTTCCTTTTTTGAAAGTAATTGACAGATTTAGCTTCTACAATTCTGGAAGCAGTGAGCTTCATACTTCAGTTTTGCAGCATCTGAAAAAAAAGACTACCTTTTGGTTGTTTTAAACCTATTCTCCATTATTTCTCCTGTATGCCCACTTAACTGGAAAAAGTGAATGAGAGCTCCTTACCTTCCCTCCACAAGACACCATTTTATACAATTCAATCATCTTCCCTCAGTTGCCCAAGCATTGTCACTTTTTTCTTTTTCAAACTGAAAAGTCCAAGTCTTGGTAGTCATGTTTTAAACAGAAGCAATTCTCCATGTTTTTTATTCTTTTCTACCTTTACCTTCTTTCTGACCTGGAAAACCAGAGCTTAACATTATTCTCTAGATGTGGCCATACCACCAGTATACACAAAGTTGTCTCAACATTTTCTGCTCCATTCTGTCTTTCTTTTTTAATAATTCCTGGTGGTTTTGAGTTGGAACTGAATTACCTATAGAGACTCATTCCTTAGCAATAACAATAAGAATTCTTTCTTTAGCAATAACAGCATACATAGAACTTACAACTAGGCACATATAATTAAGATTGATCTTGCCTGTATCCATTACTTTACGGTTATTGAGACTGAATTTCCACTTCTAGTTTAACACCCATGCTGTTCAGCACAATGAGATCCTTTTGAAACTCTTTGCTGTCAGCTTCATAGGGGCACTACTGCACAGAATTCTGCATCAGCAGCAAACTGTGCTGCTTCCTTTACTCAGTCTCTTTCCAAGACCGTTTCTGAGTATGCTAACTAGTGCAGGTCCCAGCATGAATCCCTGCGGGAGTCCAATCTAACTCTCCCACAGTGTAAAAAATGAGTATTTATTGCTATCCACTTAACCCTTCTCTTTCAGCTAGTTACTAATTCATGAGACACGCTTCCTCCCCAACCTATGACAGTTAATGTTATTTAGCAGCACTGTCAAGGGACTGTGCCAAAGGCTCTTTTGAAATCACTACAATGAATGTATCACCCTGGTTTATCAGTTTGTTGATTTCAGCAAAGAACTTCATAATTATGACAAAGCTTCTCTATCTACAAAAACCCATGTTGATTTTTCTGCAGTCTGACGTATTTGTCTGTATGCTGAAGCCTCACCCCAGCTCTGTCACTGATTTGCTTGTATAACCTGAAACAAGTCTCTCACCAAAAAGAGGACTCAGATGCTGAAAATGAACACTTCTGAGCCTTCAATCCAAAATTACTGTCTTAAAAATTCTCATACAGTTGCTTTCCAGTTATGGAGCTGCCTACATTCC